TCCTCAAAAAACTCCACTCTCTTGGCCTCTGAGACTTTGCTCTCTCCTGGTTCTCCTCCTACCAATCGCAGCACTCCTTCAGCGTTACCTGCCTCCTCCTCTCCACTTCCTCTTTCTGTAGGGGTCCCTCAAGGTTCAGTCCTTGGACCCCTACTCTTCTCCATCTACACCTCCTCCCTTGGTCACTTGATAAACTCCCATGGCTTTAAGTACCATGTCTATACTGATGACACACAAATCTATCTTTCTACCCCTCACCTCACCCCTTCAGTCTCCTCTGGCATTACTAACCTACTAAGCGACATATCAGCATGGATGTCACTCCACTTCCTCAATCTTTCCAAAACTGAGCTCTTAGTATTCCCTCCAGCCCATGCCCCCTCCTCTGACTTCTCCATCAAGATCAATAACACAATCATCAGTCCCTCCCCTCTTGCCAGGGTACTAGGTGTAATCCTAGACTCCCATCTGTCCTTTCAGTCCCAAATCCAATCGCTGTCCAAATCTTGTAGACTTCACCTCCACAACATCTCCAAGATATGGCCGTTCTTAACCTCGGAAACCACTAAGCAACTTATTCACTCCCATGTTATATCTCGCCTTGACTATTGCAACTCCCTCCTCGTTGGCCTACCTAATCGCAGGCAAACTCCTCTTCAGTCTATCAATAATGCTGCTGTCAGACTCATCCACCTTACTAACCATTCTGTATCAGCCACCCCTCTCTGCCAATCTCTCCACTGGCTTCCCGTTGCCCAACGGATAAAATTCAAAACATTAACAATAACATATAAAGCCATTTATAACTCTGCCCCAAATTACATCACCAAACTTGTCTCCAAATATCGCCCAAACCGTACTCTCCGCTCCTGGAACGACCTCCTGCTCTCTAGCTCCCTTGTCTCCTCCTCCCATGCTCGTCTCCAGGACTTCCCCCTTCCTCTGGAACTCTCTACCCCAATTTATCAGACTATCGCCTACTCTGCTCACTTTTAAGCGATCTCTGAAAACCTCTCTCTTCAGGGAAGTCTATCCTAGCCCTCAGCTAATAATGGAATCTACTCTTCCTTCCAGTCCATCCCCCACAGTTACTACATTTTGTACCACTAGCCCCTCCCTCTTAGATTGTAAGCTCCAAGGAACAGGGCCCTCCTATCCCTCTTGTATTGAACTGTATTGTCTCCCGTTATATTGTAAAGCGCTGAGAAAACTGTTGGCACTGTATAAATCCTGTATAATAATAATAATAAGGTTCACCCAGAGCAAGTGACAGACGTGAAAGGGTCTGGCAAAGCCATGGAGAACATTATGCTGCCTGTAACATCGTTCAGCATGACTGTTTTGGTGGTGGGTCAGTGATGATCTGGGAAGGCATATCCATGGAGCGACGCACATTATCCTGCCTGTAACATCTTTCAGCATGACTGTTTTGGTGGTGGGTCAGTGGTGATCTGGGAAGGTATATCCATGGAGGGATGCACAGACCTCTACAGACTAGACAATGACACCCTGACTGCCATTAGGTATCAGGATGAAATCCTTGGACCCATTGTCAGACCCTGCTCTGGTGCAGTGGGTCCTGGGTTCCTCCTGGTGCACAACAATGTGCAGCTTCATGTGGTGAGCGTAAGCAGGCAATTCCTGGAGGATGAAGGAATTGATACCATTGAATGGCCCCCACGCTCGCCTAACCTAAATCCAATAGAAAACCTCTGGGATATCATGTTTTGGTCCATTCAACTCCGCCAGGTTGCACTTCAGACTATCCAGGAGCTCAGTGATGCCCTGGTCCAGATCTGGGAGGAAATACCCCAGGACACCATCTGTCGTCTCATTAGGAGCATGCCCCGACATTGTCAGGCATGCATACAAGCACGTGGGGGCCAAACGAACTACTGAGTACCATTTTGAGTTGCTGGAATGAAATTTCAGCAAAATGGACTAGCCTGCTGCATCATTTTTCACTTTGATTTTCGGGGTGTCTTTGAAATCAGTCCTCTGTAAGTTGATAATTTTCATTTCCATCAATCGATGGGGCATCCTTACGTTCCTAACACATTATCCAGTCCAGATCAGTATCGATATCCAGCATGATATTTTTCCCCATTGAGATCTGATGCGTTTTCAAAGTGTTCCTTTAATTTTTAGGAGCAGTGTATACATTGTTTTAGTGTCCTATGATAAATCAGAACGTTTTTATCATAATAATACTGTACTTTATATATTCTATCTATAATTTGGTCATCTATTTCTGCCCTTATCATTGTTCTTATGTATTGTATTATCATGCATTTTTGTTTTGCCACCATTAGATAGCAGCACATCCGACCTTTGTTATTGCTATGTATCATTCCATCATTCACTTCTGTACGCCGAGCGGTCGCACATTTGCGTGCAATTAACAAAAAACATACGTGCTGAGGGCGTGCACCCTGCGTGCTCCCAGCACACATGTCCGGTACTCACAGAAAGGTCCCAGTCTGATCTTTTGATCAGGACCTTTCCCGATCATGTGACCGCCGTGATGACGCATCACGGCGGTCACATGATCCCTAAACCCCGCCCCGCCTCCCGGCTTCTGAAACTCTTAAAGTGCCGGGAGGCGCCGGCAGGAAGGGGTTAAGCTTTGACAATAAAACCTGGAAGCTAATTGGTTACTGTTCTGCACCAGATTCTGTTTGCTTCAGTTTTAGTAAATATCCTCCATAGAGTCCCACAGATGCCTTCTCTATGTGCATGATTTCTTTTTGAACTAGTGTTACATTCAGCCATTCACAGTGCTGCACAAAGAGGCAGCATATGAGAGGGTCACAGAACCAAAGCCACGCCTCTCCTCCGCCACATTGATGATTGATAGTTAAAGATCCACTGTCAATCACCAATGTAGAGGAGAAGCATGGTCCTCTCTGTGTGTGCTGCGCTGGGAACGGATACACATAACACTTTCAAACAGGAGCACACATGTAGAGGAGACTTCTTTGGGACTCCACAGGTCCCAGCAGGCACAGGGGGCACAAACATAATGGGAGCCTGGCAGATCAGCTCAGGGAAATTTATGAAGGAAGCTCAGGGGAGGAAAAAAAAAAAAAACAGCAAGTGCACATTAGTTCAGGTATTAAAATCTAATTTATAAAAACTTTACTTTAACATCACTTACCTAAAAAAAAACACTGAAAATTACATTACTCTGCAGAACAACAATTTAATTGAACACAAAAAACATGCCTTTTCATTTGCAGAATATTTTTATTTTTATTTACAAGTAAAAAATACATACCATACTCCATAAATTATTAATGTTAATGTTATTCAGTAAAATAGCTATCTGCTGAAAGCTGAGAAAAACATTTAATTACATGCCAGACTGTTTTTATTTGCTTCTGATAATTTATCAATACATGAATCTATCTGGTCAATTAGTAAAATGACTTCATGGCCCATTTATCATGGCGAGCAAGAAACATTACTCATTGATTACTAAACAAATTAATGGAAGATGTTTTCTGTAAGCTACTGTACCTTTAGGGATTTAAGAAGTAATTTCCTTCAGTACACTGATAAAGGCATGGAGTAATTTGATTATATTTGGAGTCAACTGTCACTTGTTGCCTAGACCCAAATAAAATACGTGGTATAATCCAAGATGAATGGATCAATTTTTTTTTTTACCACAGGTACACCAACATCTATATGAAGGTCAATCATAAGGATCCTATGACAGAACAGTTGTCACCCTTCTCCCTAAAAAGAAGCACATACATCTAGCTGGAGGAGAAGAACAATACATGCTGCATGTGTTGCAAATTTATTCTAAGGCCTGCTTCACACTGATGCGTGTTGTGACTGATGCTTTTTTTCAGCACGTATTGCACTTTTGAACACGTGTTTGGGGTTTTTTTGCTGCAACTTTGAGGTGACGTTACACTCTCTGGCACTCAAAGTCACATCAAAGTAGTGCACTTTGAAAATGTTCCTGCACTACTTTGATGCAACTTTACACTCTCTGGCACTCAAAGTTCCTTCAAAAGGTTTCTGCACTACTTTGATGTGACTTGAGTGGCAGAGAGTGTAAAGTAACATCAAAAGTCACACTCAATACTTTGCTACTGACAAGAAAAAAGCAAAATGCATCAAAAATACTTTAAAACACTGTCAACACAGGCACAGAGTATAGGAAGGTATTAGCTCACCATATTCCTGGCAGAATCAATAGTTTTGGGGGTTTTTGTTAACAGATATAGGAAAACACCTTCAATGTTTTATTTAAAAAGACCAAATAAGAAAAGTTAAATGTTGGGGTTTACATACCCTTTAATCCATACTAGAGTATCCAATGGCAGGTTTTTCAATTCAGGGCACAATAGCTGCTGCAGAACTGTATAATACAGAACAGATGTTTTTATCCCTTGCAGCTACTTTAGTCTAGGGATATGCAAAGAAACAAATAATATTTTCAAACTAGTACTGCTCTAGGGCACTATTTCAACATGGTGCTTCTTTGTAATCAAGGCAACAATCTTCATATTTATTTAACCAATCTGGTCTACTTTATTTAATTATCACAACTGAGAATGTGTTTTATTGCAAACGAAAATTGTTCTGTTTTACAGTAAGCAGCATCTCAGAATAAAGAATCTTTCAGATACTAGGCACAGTAATGAATTCATCCTCAACAAATAACATGCTGAAAAATTGTACACATTTATTTTCTCAACAAAAGTCAGCACCTTAGCTCATAGGATGCATACATTTTATTCTATGAAACGTTTAGGTGCACAATGAGAAATATGATTTGTTTCTAAATTGTACCATAAATAGTATTCAGCTCTGATTTTGCAGAGAAAAAATGCTTTGCAAAGCTAATTTTGCTAGATTTGTTTCTCATAACTTCAGCATTCATAAAAAAAAATATATGTATAGTGCGATTATGATCTAGATTGCAGTTTGTCAGTGGAATGCTAAAGATGCAGACAGTACATGCACCTGCCTCCTTGACACATTTATCTCTCCTGCTGGAGCTCTTTTCTCTGTAGCTGATGAATCCTATTCCCTGCGGTTCTCTGAACAATTTCCAAATCTTCTGTGTCTAGGTCCTTGAGCAGCAGCAAAATTGCATTAAGGACATTATTCTGATAAGACACAAAAGGCATGTTAGAAGATTCTTAAAGTGAAAAAAGTAGTAGTAACAATAATAACTTGCTCTATTAAAAAGTATAAACACAAAGGGGTAGATTTACTAAAACTGGAGAATGCAAATTCTGGTGAAGTTCTGCAGAGAAACCAATCAGCTTCCAGTTCTTTTTTTTGTCAAAGCTTAATTGAACAAGCTGAAGTTAAAAGCTGATTGGCTACTATGCACAGCTGCACCAGATTTCGCACTCTCCAGTTTTAGTAAACCTCCTCCCAAGAGTGTTTTATGTACAAAGCTTAATAGGTTCTGATGGTGATCACACACAATGCATTTTTTACAGTATATTTTAAGCCAAAACCTTTTTTCTCGCATTTTAAATAGCGTAGAGAAGGGTTAAACCCAATTTTTGACATCTGTGTCTCATTAGGGACTTTTTTCCCTCTTACTTCCTGTCCTATAGACTCAACAGGAAGTGATAGGATATAATTCCAATGTGAGGGAGACAGCCTCTTAGACAGTTCTTATGGGAAAAAGTGTGTCCAGTGGAAGATTTATCTTCTATTCCTTTCCTGGTGGCAACCCTCCCTTTGATTTGCCTTGACACTGATGATCAAGACAATTAAACATTTTAATACCACGCTATAGCAGAAAGATGGCTACAGTGTGGTTCTCTTGTTCTGGGAGGGCGTCTATAGACATCCACTCAAAACGCGTCTTGCACACATAATCAGTACCCTGATTATCAGTGCCGCCTATTAGTGTCCATTAGCAGATCCTCATTGGTGAATCTAAGTCAAAAGACCACCAGCGCTCAAATCATAGTGCTCCAGAGAAGCAGCGTTATCAGTGCCCATCACCCCTCTGCCAATCCCTCCACTGGCTTACGATTGCCCAACTGATAAAATTCAAAATACTAACATTGACGTACAAAGCTGTTCATAACACTGCCCCAAACTATATCACCGACCTGATATCCATCTACCACCCAAAACGCACTCTCCGCTCCTCACAAGACCTCCTACTCTCCAGTTCCCTGGTCTCCTCCTCCCAAGCCCATCTCCAGGACTTCTCCAAGGCTTCCCCCATCCTCTGGAACTCACTACCCCAATCCATCAGACTGTCACCTACCCTCCTCACCTTTAGGCGCACCCTGAAAACCCATCTCTTCAGAGAAACCTACCCGCCCTCACCTAACTGCTGATCTCCTCCGCTCTCCCCACCACTCCATCCCCCACAGCTATTTCCTCCTGTACCACTCTCCCCTCCCTCCTAGATTGTAAGCTCCAAGGAGCACGGCCCTCGAACGCCTTGTGTATTTTATTGTATTGTTACTGTACTGTCTCATGTATTGTCTCCCATTGTAATGTACAGCACTGAGCAAACTGTTGGCGCTATCTAAATACTGTGTAATAATAATAATAATAATAATCAGTGCAGTCTCATTAGTGCCCATCAGTGCAGCCTCATCAGTGCCGATCAGTGTGGCCTCATCAGTGCCCATCAGTGCAGCCTCATCAATGCCTCCTCATCAGTGCAGCTTATCAGTGCCGCCTCATCAGTACAGCATTATCAGTGCCCATCAGTGCATACTCATTAGTGCCCATCAGTGCAGCCTCATCAGTGCCCATCAGTGCAGCCTCATCAGCGCACAACAGTGAAGAAGAAAAAATTACTTATTTTCAAAATGTTATAACCGAAACAGAGAAAAATGTTTTTTTTTTTTTTTTAGAAATTTGTGGCCTTTTTTGTTTAGCAAAAAATAAAAACCCAGTGGTGATTAAAATACCACCAAAAGAAAGCTCTATCTGTCCCAAAAAATAACAAATTTCATATGAGTGCAGTTTTTGCATGACCACACAATTGTCATTCAAAGTGTGACAGCACTGAAAGCTGAAAAATGGCCTGTGCAGGAAGGGGCTAAGAAGTGTCTGGTATTGAAGTGGTTAAAGAGGTTGAATCTCCCTAACAGGAACAAATGCAGCAATAAAAGCCTGACAATAGTTCTTAACCATCACCACTCTTCAAATCTAAAAACAAAAAAAATAAAAAAGATTTGTCTTTAGTTATACTTTAACTATTATCACTGAAAAACTATTTCAAATTAAATGCCTATGGGGGTACCAAAAAGTCCTCAATCCTTGCATACAATTTTTCTACTTCTATTTCAATATACAAATAAAAACAGAAGTTTAGTAAAAAATAAATGAGATTGCACAGATGTATAAATATTCAACTCTCTGCAACTAATAATGAGGATTCCCTGTCCAGAATACCCCAGTATCAGTGCCACAATTCTACTTGTCTTCTGTGTCATTGTCTTCTCCTGACATTTAATATTGCTACACTTCTCACTATAAGTCAATGGACGAGTGGCTGGAAAGGATTCCACTATGTTGATTAAAGAACTAAAGGCAAGCTATCTTTTTTTTTCCATTTTGGAGAGCGTAAGGGAGAGTTATAACCCTGTATCATTGGGGAGATTTCCTTTCACTTCCTAGCCCATAGCTAAAGCAGGAGTGGGAGAATCCCAGATTGTCACAAGGGTCACCAGGACTAGTGCCTCCATTAAAAAATTTCCACTCTTTTCCTGTTCTGCTGTCAACTCAAAAATTGGAATTTTCTTTCATTCACTTTCATTCTCTGTAGTAATGGTAAACAGGACAAATAGAGAGGGTGAATTTCCCTAACGGGGGCACAGACAGCAATAAAAACCTCACAGGTGTTCTAATTACTCTCCACTCTATCCAAAACTTAAATATTTGCCTCTAGCTACACTTCAAGTGTAAAAACAGCAGACATTACAAAATAGAGGGTTCTAAGTAATTATCAAATTTAAAAATAATCCCTGTATACTATATCACTATACTTTACTAATTCTAATATTCCTGAGGCCGTCATTGTGGTTGATTTACTAAAGGGAAATAGACTGTGCACTTTGCAGTTTGAATTTGGTGAAACTCTGCTGATTTCCATCATCCAATCATGTGTAAGAAAATATGCAGTTATATATTTTTTTTTTTTCCCCCTTGCACCAGACTGGGTATTCTTTACAAAGTGAAGCTTCACCACATTTACTAAGCTCTGGGTAAAATGAGTGCAACTCCAAAGTGCACCATCTATTTGCCTTTAGTAAATCAACCACATTGTGTCATATTCTAATTAGATTCTTTGCAACGTTTAACAATGATTTTCTTGTAGAGGCAATGGAAAGTGCTTCTCAATAAACTTCTGTCCCTCTAGTTTTGGTAATTTTAGTGGGAGTGATTGCAGTAGCTTTGGAGATATTGGATATAGTGTACTAGTGAGGCATTAACACTAAGGACACCATTTGAAACTTGCACAGTGTTTTTAAACACACTGTGGCCCCTGGATATCACAGTGTATTTTATAGGAAAAGCAAATGTAGCCTTTAGAGCTGATTCACACATGTGTGGTGTGGATTGAAGCTCAGGTTTCACAGCCAAGTGACACAGTAGTTGTTCAGCGGTTCAGGTCCTGTTTACACTTGTGCACTTTAGAAACGATTCCCATAGAAGTCAATAGTTTGTAATCCGCACCTGAACCGAACCGCACTGCTCCGAAATCGGACAGGAGTCTTTTTCAATCTGCACTGCCAATGCACCGGACATATGTGAACAGGCACCATAGGAAGCAATGTTATTCCATGCGGTTCAAACCGCATCCAATCCGCATATACAGTTAGGTCCATAAATATTGGGACAACGACACAATTCTAACATTTTTGGTTCTATACACCACCACAATGGATTTGAAATGAAACGAATGAGATGTGCTTTAACTGCAGACTGTCAGCTTTAATTTAAGGGTATTTACATCCAAATCAGGTGAACGGTGTAGGAATTACAACAGTTTGCATATGTGCCTCCCACTTGTTAAGGGACCAAAGGTAATGGGACAATTGGCTTCTCAGCTGTTCCATGGTCAGGTGTGTGTTATTCCCTCATTACCCCAATTACAATGAGCAGATAAAAGGTCCAGAGTTCATTTCAAGTGTGCTATTTGCATTTGGAATCTGTTGCTGTCAACTCTCAAGATGAGATCCAAAGAGCTGTCACTATCAGTGAAGCAAGCCATCATTAGGCTGAAAAAACAAAACAAACCCATCAGAGAGATAGCAAAAACATTAGGCGTGGCCAAAACAACTGTTTGAAACATTCTTAAAAAGAAGGAACGCACCGGTGAGTTCAGAAACACCAAAAGACACGGAAGACCACGGAAAACAACTGTGGTGAATTCTTTCCCTGGTGAAGAAAACACCCTTCACTACAGTTGGCCAGATCAAGAACACTCTCCAGGAGGTAGGTGTATGTGTGTCAAAGTCTACAATCAAGAGAAGACTTCACCAGAGTTAATACAGAGGGTTTACCACAAGATGTAAACCGTTGGTGAGCCTCAAAAACAGGAAGACCAGATTAGAGTTTGCCAAACGACATGTAAAAAAGCCTTCACAGTTCTGGAACAACATCCTATGGACAGATGAGACCAAGATCAACTTGTACCAGAGTGATGGGAAGAGAAGAGTATGGAGAAGGAAAGGAACTGCTCATGATCCTAAGCATACCACCTCAACAGTGAAGCATGGTGGTGGTAGTGTCATGGCGTGGGCATGTATGGCTGCCAATGGAACTGGTTCTCTTGTATTTATTGATGATGTGACTGCTGACAAAAGCAGCAGGATGAATTCTGAAGTGTTTCAGGCAATATTATCAGCTCATATTCAGCCAAATGCTTCAGAACTCATTGGACGCCACTTCACAGTGCAGATGGACAATGACCCACAGCATACTGCAAAAGCAACCAAAGAGTTTTTTAAGGGAAAGAAGTGGAATGTTATGCAATGGCCAAGTCAATCACCTGACCTGAATCTGATTGAGCATGCATTTCACTTGCTGAAGAGAAAACTGAAAGGAAAATGCCCCAAGAGCAAGCAGGAACTGAAGACAGTTGCAGTAGAGGCCTGGCAGAGCACCACCAGGGATGAAACCCAGCGTCTGGTGATGTCTATGCATTCCAGATTTCAGGCTGTTATTGACTGCAAAGGATTTGCAACCAAGTATTAAAAAGTGAAAGTTTGATTTATGATTATTATTCTGTCCCATTACTTTTGGTCCCTTAACAAGTGGGAGGCACATATGCAAACTGTTGTAATTCCTACACCGTTCACCTGATTTGGATGTAAATACACTCAAATTAAAGCTGACAGTCTGCAGTTAAAGCATATCTTGTTCGTTTCATTTCAAATCCATTGTGGTGGTGTATAGAGCCAAAAATGTTAGAATTGGGTCAATGTCCCAATATTTATGGACCTGACTGTATGTGAATGGGCGCTTAAAGTGATACTAAACACACACTGTTTAATTATTATTATATAGTATTTATAAAGCGCCAATAGTTCGCTCAGCGCTGTACATTACAGAGGGGGACAGAACATGTGACAGAACAATACCAATACAATGCAAAACAAGAGGGGATTGAGGGCCCTGCTCTTTCGAGCTTACAATCTAGGATTTACACTATCCCTTCTCTTTAGGTATATGGATGATGGCACTGTATTTATTTTAATTGAAAAAAAAAATAAGAACCTTTTTTAATAATCAATATGTAGCTCTCATGTGACCCAGCTTTTTTCCAGCCTGTCTGCAGGGAAACATCAGCGGGAGGAGCTTCTAGTCCTCTGTTGCTGGTCACATATTAAAAAAACAGCCTTCAACATAAGGAGTTAAAATACATAATTAATATCAAATAAATGTTTTAAATAGTCATACAAATATGTATTTTTTTTAAAAAAAAGGTGTTTTTTAAACTCAAATAATTATTTTTGTGCAAAAACATTGTGTTGGCTATCTAGGGGGAGATTTTGCCAAACACAGCGGAATGTACGTGCTTAGAATTATAGGGAGGTGATGCCCCATAAATCAGCATGTAGAAAGCCATCCCCTGGAATGTTTAGCTGTTTAGTGAGAAAGGAGAAGAGGGAGTAGGTTGTCATTTATTCCTGTGTATTCAGCCACATATGTGACTCTATTGCGTGGTCATGCAACACTGTACCCATTAAATTTTTTTTACCGTTTTATTTCAGACAAATAGTGTTTTCTTTGGTGGAATTTAATCACCACTAAGTTTTTTATTTGTTTCTAAATAGACAAAAAAAAACTGAAACCTTTTGGAAAAAAAAAAAAAAAAAAACAACCTTTTTCTTTGTTTCTTGTTATAAAATTTTGCAAATAAATAACATTTCTTCATAAATTTAGGCCAAGCTACATTTCTTTGGTGAAAACACCCCAAATGAGTGTATATTTTGTAGTGTGTAGGAAAGTTATAGAGTCCACAAACCATGATAGATATATATATATATATATATATATATATATATATATATATCTCTCTATCTCTGACATTCGATCAATCAATGTACTGATGGCCAATCTCATTGCTTGAGGCCCGAAAACGCCAGCATAGTACAAATACCCCCCAAATTACCAATTTTTGGAAAATAGACAGTCCAAGGTATTTTTCTTTACATATTGTCACCAGTCCGGTACAGCGTGATTATATAACTGGTGTGGTGATGATCAGAGACACGGACTGGTGAGAGTATGTAAAACAAAATTAAATAATAAATTAAATTTTTATTTTTTTTCCAATTTTTCATATTTTCTATTTTTTTTCTATTTTTTATTACATTCTTTTTTCTTTACAATTTTTTTTCAACACACTGTAACCAAAGCAATACAATGTTACCATAGTAGCCAGTTGTACCCACCCCAGTATGCATGATGCATGTATATAATTAGCCCCCAAGTACATAACCTTACATTTATCAACATTAATAATACAATCTGAGGTATTTAGTAAGAGGTATGGCAAGTTTTTTGAAGTTGTCACTTTTTTGTCATAATTTTGTGGAAAATAAAGAGATGAAAAAAACTTTCACAATTTCTTTTTTTTTTTAATACTGTCGCCATCATATAACTGGTGTGGCAGTGATCAGAGACAATGACTGGTGACAGTATGTATTAAAAAAAAGAATTATAATAATAAAGGCAATGAAAGGAATCAGGGCAGGAAAAGCACTACAGAAAAGAGACATTTTAGCTTCCCGAAGAACATCAGTGAAGGTCTACTCCATTTTCCTTTTGAAACAAATATGCTTCATTTACCATCCCAGTGGAAATTTTTGGAGTCTGGTCTCTTAAAGGGACAGTACAAAGGAAGTAGCTACTAAAGGACAGAGGCGGATGAGCAGAGATTGACCAACCTAAAAAGTGTGCGTGACCTATTTTATTATAGGTCAAACAAGAAGGTGAGTGAATAGCACACTTATTGGTGAAGGGAAGTACCACGGATAACAACATACTATGAGCATTGTTGGGTTTATGAAGGAATGTTGCTTGTGAACATTGAAACATTGAAAGATTTGGTTATTGTGAATACAAAAGCTTATCATATTTTTTGGTTTGTACTAAAATAATGTGGGACTGGATCACTGTTTTTCACAGATTATAGTTGTGGACTTATGTTGATTTTTTTTATTGTTTTTTTTCATGGGTTTTCATGTTTTTTGAGGAGTTAGCGCAAAACATTTAAAGTGTTACTAAACCCAGGACCCTGCATTCACTATATCTGGTCTCCCACAGTACACAGAACATGGAAGTACAATTATTTCAGTAAATATAAACTGTTGCATACCTTTTCTCATCAGCAGTTAGAGCAGTCTTGTGACTTCAGCAAAGCATTGGCTAAAGCTTGTAGTTTGCTTTCTGCTTTAGGAGGATGCAGAACCCCTGACCCTCTGCCTGGACAGTGCTGATTGGCCCTGTGCTGATCACATGCACCCTCCCCCCCAAAAAAAACACCTCTCTAGCAATACACACTAAACTGAGCATGTGCATGTGGCAACGGGTTCAGTCTGTCTTATCAGGTGGGCAGAACAAGAGGAGGGGCAGAAAACAGGATCAAATGGCTGTTTTACACAATGCAGAGGATTAACCCCTTAGGTTCCTCAGTGAGTATAACACGCATACTTTACTGCATATGCAGACTGAGTTTACTGTTGTGGATTTAGTAACACTTTAAATTTAATAATAATAATTTTTGTATTTTTTTTAATTTTTTGTGATTGGCCATAGCTGATCACATGCTACAGATGGGCTGTGATTGCCCTAGTCTGTACATGTGATCATTGTGACCAATCACAGCTTGCAGCACAGTTGTAAGCAGTGAATGGCATGAAAGGAAGCCCTTCATTGTTTAGAACTGTCCAATCACAGCAGATCACATGACACTTGCAGCGGGATGGTGTAGTGTTCTGTCATCGGCAGTGTCCCATGGACACAGCCAGTGACAGGTCCCACTGGAGCGCAGCCTGTGAAGCATGCGTGAGGCGTGAGACTGGGAGAATGTCATTTGATGTCCTCCCAGCATAAAAGAGTTCCTGCTCGGCCGTCATCGTACAATAAGCCAGCCGTGAAGGAGTTAAGTGTAATGCATTGAGAAAATGATCTGCTGAGCTGAGTGGATTATGTCTCTAATGCTCTTGCTTCAGGACAACTTTGGAGGACAGTATGGCTCTAAACAACAACACATTCATAACACGTGAACCTGCCCATCCCAAAGGAGTAAATCATATCTCCCCTTTGGCTCACCTAAAATTCCCCTCTTCCCAGGTCCAAAACACACTCTCACAGGTGGCTTCTCCTTCTACAGTTCTTAGAGCTCAATTTGCTAGTGTGTGTTTAAATGGTGGCAATGAAATAAAGACAAATGTTTTTCATACTCATTTTGAATGACGCTTAATGGTACATATGAGGACATATTACAGCAAACCTATCACTAATAATGTTTCATGCAAAGGTATAGCAAAGTCACACAGTGCTGCTATTTATTATAAAAGTACAACTGTGCTGATGTATAAAATTCCAAATTGAACAATACAATAATTTGAGTATCTCTGTGTAGATCGATAAAAGCAAGCTGAAATCATAGTTTATTTTTATAGGTTACTGTATACCTCTGGCCTTTGTCCTTATGCATACATAAGTATTCATCACGCTTAACTTTCCAGGTTATGAAATAGTACAAAATATAATTCCATACCTTTTTCTTTCTTCCTGCATCAGTTTCTATTGGGGAAGCAAAGAGAGAAAATTTGTCTCTTGGTAATGGCTTCATGCCTAGCTGTTCACGTATTTTACTAGGGAAATAAAATAATGTGTTACACTTTGTGATGCTACAAATAATGCTTATTTATTCTTTCAAAAATATCCATTAGAATTCAAAATATTCTGATATATTAAAATTATTGGTAATCTAGCCACTATTGGCAAACTAGCCTGACAAGGAATCAAATAAGTATTTACATTCAGTGTTCATAGTATTTGAAGGGGCTCCTTTTGCTTTAACAAGGGAAGCTTTATTCTAATGATTTAATTTAGATTTCTTTTTTTTTGTCTGTGAACAGGTCTTCATTTTTTATAAAAATCTAAAAAAAGACAAACCTAGCCTATTCCTAACTGACAGTCACTTCAATTCTTTAATACTGAATTTAAGATCTGTTCAAAGTGCACCTCTTGTCAAAACAACATTTTCAACAATTCCTACTACCATTTTTATTTCTACTATTACAGTAAGGTTTACGTACATTTGTGTGATCACTTGCAATTGTAGCCTGTTTTAATTTATCTGTACCCTCTTTCCTTCATATTATGGCAAAATGTCTGTTCCACCACATAACACGTGATTTCAAATTACTGCTGTGCAGAATTCCTTTGGTTAGGTGTTAGTTTTGGAAAACCCAGTTTTTACTGTCATTGCTGATCATTACCCGATGTGCATATATTCATTCAACTATGTTGTTTCTATTCGCTAAAGGGACAAGCATCTTTGTTTTCTGGCTCAGTGCTAAGGTGATGAAAGACTGCATGGTCATCTCTCTGTTAATTGCTCTGCCAGCTTGCTGTCGGTCATATCTAATTACTGTTTAGTTCTCACTTGAAGAGCACTGACTTAGTAAAAAACAATTGTGGAATATGTAGTTTCTTCAAAGGAAGTGTCACATTTTAGAATACAAACAGAGGTAGTGCATTACCCTGTGCAAGGCTCTGTGGCAAGCCTCATGTTTGAACACAAACAGAAAATTTTGACACGGAAATGAGATTTACTCCATAATAGGCTGTTGGTACAGGGCAACAAATGATGCAGTGAAACTACATGATCAATGCACATCTAATAACTATAGTGCCCTTATGACTATAATGCTTAAAGTGTTTCAAAGGTTCCAGGCAGGACATTGCTTGTTTGTTGTGTTTCTCTTTTCGCCATTATAGCTTTACATGTTGTGAAATGTACGATTTTTTAAATAAGAAATGTAAAAAAGATGAATACTTATTTTATGTTACAGCATTTGATGGCTGTTTTATATTTATGCAAAAGTGAGTCCTACATAGTTGCCAACCGTCAGGAATTGGCCAGGATAGTCACGGAAATTTGACAGCTGTTCCAGCCTAACCTTGTCCTGGTCTGAGTCCTGAAAACCTGTGTAGAACATGGAGCCTAATGCAGACTGTCACTCAGGGCCGGCGCCAGGATGAGAGGGAGGTAAAATCTGGCATGTCTTGGACGTCCCTATGAGCGGGAGCAAAGAGCAGCGTCTCTGTTTGGCATCCTTTCCTGGGAACCTACAGACCTGCTCCCACACAAAGCTGCTTATACAGGGAGACCAGCTGTACACACCAATCTCTGACAATGCTGCTTTGCTGCACCCGGGCAATGACAAAATCTTCTACAGAGGAGGGGGAGCAGAGCGGCCAGCAGATCCAGGATCGTGGAGCGTCACTGCCTCAGAGGGTAACCAAGCAAGTGACACGGCTTCTAAACAAAACAAGTTTGCTAATTCTTTTAGTAAAACTCACTCCCAGATCTCTCTTGCTGCACTGGGACCTTCTCCCCCCCCACGCCTGCAGTCTCTGACCCTCTCCTGCGGTACGCATGCAATCTCTGACCCTCTCCTATAGTACGCCTGCAGTCTCTGACCCAGTCTTGTAGTACTCTTGCAGTCTCTGACCCAGTCTTCTAGTACTCTTGCAGTCTCTGACCCAGTCTTGTAGTACTCCTGCAGTCTCTTACCCTTTCTTGTAGTACTCCTGCAGTCTCTGACCATCTCCTGAGCTACACCTAAAGTCTCCGACCAACCCCTGTACTATGTCTGCAGACTCTGACCCTCTCCTGTACTAACTGCAGTAACCTCTAGCAAACAATCAGTGAGTGGTAATGATGTGCAATAACATCTAGCAACCAATCAGTGAGCAGTAATAATGTGCTGTAGCCTTTAGCAACCAATATTGAGTGTGGACTAGTTCTTTATGTTTAAGTCTATGTGTGTGTTTTGTTTTTTTGGGATGATGTGTGTGGAGAGCAAAACTGCATGGGTGGAGCCCAAGAAAATCTCACTCAATTTAACCACACCCACTTTAAACCATGCCTAATATTTAGCGTTATTTAATCCATTTTTTGGCACGGCGTGTACATCCCGTACAGCAAGCAGATATTCTGACAGGTCTGCAGGAGACCTGCGTGGCATCAGCGATCTATTGCTTGGTGGTGCAAAGCTATACAGGCTCCTTTAGACAAAATAATAAATGCACATTTTTTTACCTGCAAAAAAATATTTTTGTCCAGAAGGTGAACTTATCCTTTAACCACTTAACCATTAACTCCTGAGGATTTACCTCCCTTCCTGGCCAGGCCTTTGTTTGCTATTTGGCGCTGCACTATTTCAACTGGTAATTGCGCGGTCCTACAAAGCTGTACCCAATCTAAATTTACATCCTTTTTTCACACAAATAGGAATTTTCTTTTGGTGGTATGTGGTCACCTGTGCGCTTTTTATTTTTTGCGCTATGAACAAAAAAAAAAGACCAAAAATTTTGAAAAAAAAAAAAAAAAAAAACACAATATTTTTTACTTTCGGCTATAAAAAATGTATAGTAAACTTAAAGTTAGTCATACATTTAGGCCAAAATTTATTCTGCTACATGTTTTTGGTAAAGAAAATCCCAACAAGTGTATATTGATTGCTTTGTGTGAAAGTTATAGCATCTAAAAAAACTATGGTATTGATAATGGTATTTACAGAGCTTTTACTTTCTGACTGCCTATCACCTTTCTTTAGGTGCTAAAATGCCAGGCCAGTACAAACACTCCCAAATTACCCCTTTTCGGAAAGTAGACACCCTAAGCTATCTGCTGAGAGGCATATTGAGTCCATGGAAGATTTATTTTTCTCCACACGTTTTTGGAAATTTACAAAAACATTTTTGTTTTTTACACAAAGTTGTCACTTAAATTATATATTGCTCACACAAGCCATGGGTATATGTGGAATTACACCCCAAAATACATTCAGCTACTTCTACTGAGTATGGGGATACCACATGTGTGAGACATTTTGGAAACCTAGCCACATACATGACCCTGAAATCCAATGACCACTTTGAAAGGCTGAAGGTACGTAACTTCCTCATTTTCACTTCCTCACTACCTATCAGTTTCAGAGGCCCGAAAATGCCAGGTTAGCCCCTTCGCTCTCATCTGACATGCTCAGAATCCTGTAGGCCTCTTCACAAGAGTACCTTTCCATTGACATTTTGGCCACTAAATTTATAGGTACCTAGAGTGACTCACGGGAAAAAGAGCACCTGGCTGTCAGGGACTGCTTGAACCACTACAAAAAAATTACCGGCAAGTGCTAACAGAGATCAGGCCTGATTCTGCGAACACAGCGGGCTTGTGTGCACTGTATCAAGTGACAGTGACCTACTGACACTGTACTTGCTGGAGGAGAAGGGGGGGGGGGGGAGTAAGCATAGGGGCTAAACGCCGGTGCTGGCAGGTGCCGAGGCTGATCCCGCTAACGCTGTGTTTTTGGGGACACTATACTAATGTCAATGCTGGTATAGTGCTGATCTGATCAAAGATATTGATCCGTTCAGACACTATACTAGCAATGGAGGTTTATTGTGTATGTGAGCATGTTTCTGGCAATCAAGGGGTTAAATGTGATTACTGGTGTACTGAGGGGCAAGCTGATGCTATCTGGGAGGGGAGCTGACGCTAACGCTATCTGAAGTCGCTGGCGACACTAATACAGTGATCAGCAAAAAATCTGTACACTGTACTAATGGGAGGGGGGGTGATCAAGGGGTTAAATATGTCCTAAAGTGTTCTAACTGTGTAATTGTGCTATTTTACTTGCTGTGTCTTCATTCTTCTCTCTTTGGGACAGAATGTGCTCAGAGAGGGAGGATTTAATAATTTCATGTACCTGTGTAACTGTAAAACACAGGTACAGGAAGATCCCTGATAGGACAGGGATTGATCATCCGACTTAGGCCGACCATAACTGGCCTAAATCGGAAGATTGATCCCTCAGGGATCAAATCACAGCACTCGCGGGTTGGCGGGGGTATAGTGTTTCTACTATAAGGCGGCGCGGAAGAGGTTAAACATGTCCAGTAAAAAAAAACAATTTAAAACATCCCAATACATGTACATGAATTGGTTTACGTGAAAGTTATAGCGTTTACAAATGGTGGTATAGATACTGGGGGTTTTTTTTCTACTAATAATGGCAACGATCAGCAACTTATAGTGGGACTGCGGCGGGCATTCTGACACTGGAGGGAACTGACTTGGTGTCACTGCCATGCCCAATGACACCAATACACTGACCAGTGCTAAAAAAAAGTACTGACACTGTACTGAAATGGCACTGGGCAGAAAAGGGTTAACATGAGGAGTGATCAAAGGGTTAACTGTGTGCTGGCAGTGTTTTACTAGGCGGCGGGGGGGGGGGGGGGGGGTGTGCTTCCCTGTAAGCACACTGCTCCGGATGGCTGTGCACAGCCATCCGGAGCAGTGTGCCCAAACCGACAGGGAGGAGAACTGTTAGTAAAAAATGCAGCCCTCTTCCCCCCGTCAGTAATTATTGGGCGCCATCAGGTAATCACTGGCCGGGAAACAGTGTTTGACAGCTTCGGCTGCAAACTGTCATGGCGTGGGTAGGGTGCACGCGCGGCTCGACACGCCCCCTACCCGGAAATGCAAAATCCCGTATATATACCTGATTTTGCGCACCCGTGCTGCCCTGTAGCAGTATTTCTGCTATAGGGCGGCGCAGAAGCGGTTAAAGTGTACTTTTTGTTGAAAAATTGTGTTTGATAAACCGCTGTGCAAATATGACATAAAAAATTGCAACACCCACCATTTTATTCTCCAAGGACTTTGCTTTCAGATATATACTGTTTAGGGGTTCAAATTCATTTTCTAGCAAAAAAAAAAAAACATTGATCTTTTACATGTATGTGAGAAATGTCGGACTTGGACTAGACGGCAAGTGGTTAAAGTGAACCTTACCTGGTCTGAAATGTTTCCAAGGCAACAAGAGTAAAGGTACCATGTGGCATCTGAAGGTACCTGTTTACTCTTCAGATCGATCCGTGTCCCTGTGGAGCCCCTTTCTCACAGCTGCCAAATTGGGACCAGTGTCTGTACAGCTGCTACAACCCAACAGACATGAATGCGACTGCCTGCATGCGGATGCATGGAATACCTGCGCATGCCGTGTGGACAAAGACGACCTTTACACAAGGGTTCGAATAGATATGCCCCTGTGAATAAGGCCTAATTAAACCTTTTACAGTTATTTAAACATCTTCTGTAGCATATGAATTTGGTGGAATAAAAATTAGAGAATGCTTAGTCATACTTTCTATACAGAAAACAATGGGAAACAGGATTCATATAGTCTCTTTTTTAGCATGGATAAGAACAAAACCACAACAAAAAGCAAAAAGAAAATATCCAAAGAATATTTTTTGCCCAAACAATTAACATGGATATTTCCAGTTTTACTGCAAAATGTATACAATACTACAATAGGTAAATTGTTTAGGATATATAACAGTAATGTGAAAGTAAACATTTGTTGAAACAGCTGGGTTTCTGTATCCCCTTCAACCCATGTCATCTGCTGGACTAAACAGAATGACAACATATGTGCCTGTGATGTCACCAGACAGCAAATAAAAAGTCTGTCCTGTGTACTTTGTCAATACGCCATATACATGAAAATAATTTCAAAGGAAAAATCAAGTAATACACATATATTACATTTAAGGCTTACTTTGTTTCTTCCATGCTGAAATTTAGCAAGTCACTTTCAGATTCTGTTGTAACGTCAGCCCCATTCCGTTCTGTTGTTGGTCCCGAGTGACCATTTTCTGAGCTAGAAATTACAGTTGGAGCAGCTATAAACTCTTCACCTTCTGTAGTGGCTTGGGAGACCTCATCTGCTGTCACAGCTGCAAACAAGAATATGCAGAGATCCATAATCAGCAGTGCAGTCCACAACTTTGGAAAGTCAGTTGTATTTCTCAGGCTCCCACAGTAGTGTCAAATATACAAATCATTTTTTTTTTCATAATACGGCGTAACAAACTATAATAAAAGCTGCATAAATGTAAGATAGGAACATCAAACACATCACTTGAAAGTAGGAAGCTGAAGAAAAATGTCACAACAACAAAAGGAGTTATTCTACCTTATTACATTATTTTTCACAGGAATTTTTTATGTAGCAAGTAATTTCCTCAGGTAGGAAATCTAAAAGCAGAGGCACAATTAATTATTTGTCTAGTACATGCAAGCATTTCCCTGGTGATCCCTAATGTCATATGAAAATACTCTTAACTCCTCCTTGCAATGTCCTTGGTCATTTTCATGCAGCCTTTCCTTCCCTTTACAAGAGGAACCCATAATAGACCTGGGAAATCTGGAGCTGAAATATTTGGCAGCAGTCAACATACTTTACACTTTTCTGCTAGCAATTCATTTTTTATTACATCCATGGACAAAAAGAAATTAATTTGTGCAGTGTGTATGATGGTGCCAGACCCATGAAAACCAAAGAATCCCACAAAGCCACTGTAACAATGCATGTTGGCACATTTATAAGGAGCTTCTTACACACTCACCGGCCACTTTGTAAGGTACACCTGTTCAATTGCTTGGTAACACAAATTGCTAATCAGCTAATCACATGACAGCTACTCTATGCATTTAGGCATCTAGATGTGGTGAAGACGACTTCCTGAAGTTCAAACCGAGCATCAGAATGGGGAAGAAAGGGGATTTAAGTGACTTTGAACGTGGCATGTTCTGGTCTGAGTATTTAAAAAACTGCTGATCTACTGGGATTTTCACGCACAACCATCTCTAGGGTTTACAGAGAATGGTCCAAAAAAAGAAAATACTCAATAAGCGGCAGTTGTGTGGACGAAAATGCCTTGTTGATGCCAGAGGTCAGAGGAGAATGGGAAGACTGGTTTCTGCGACATTCAGACGGTAGGGTCAGAATTAGGCATAAAAAACATGAAAGCATGGATTCATCCTGCCTTGTATCAATGGTTACAAGATTAAATGACACACAGGTGGACTCTATTTACTAATTATGTGACTTCTGAAGGCAATTGGTTCCACTAGATTTTATTTAGGGGTATCAAGAGTAAAGGGGGCTAAATACAAATGCATGCCACACTTTTCAGATATTTGTAAAATAATCTGAAAACAATTTATCATTTCCCTTCCACTTCACAATTATGTGCCACTTTATGTTGATCTTTCACATAAAATCCCAATAAAATACATTTACGTTTTTGGTTGTAACATAACAAAATGTGGAAAATTTCAAGGGGTATGAATACTTTTTCAAGGCAATGTATTAAAAAAGCCCACCTAGAATTTGCCAGGGCCCATGCTGAAAAAGAAGAAGACTACTCTGTATTTTTGAGTGACGAGACCAAGATAAATGTTTTTGGAACTGGTGGTTTCAAATCTGTATGGCATTGCAAGGGTGAGGAGTACAAAGAAAAATGCATGGTGCTTACAGTGAAACATGGTGGTGTCCTTCTGTGGGGCTACATGAGTGCTGCTGGTGTAGGGGAGCTCCATTTCATTGATGGTATCATGAATTCACAGATGTACTGCTCTATATTGAAAGAGAAGATGCTACCATCACTCTGTGCCCTTGGTCGTCGTGCACTTTTCCAACATGACAATGTTCCAAAACACCCATCTAAGCCACTGTTGCATTTTTGAAGAACAGAGTGAAAGTGATTCAGTGGCCAAGTATGTCTCCTGATCTGAACATAATCAAACACCTACAGGGAATTTTGAAGGGACAGGTTAAGCATCACTCTCCGTCCAGCATCCAGGCTCTAAAAGAGTTTGTTCTTGAATAGAAAAGGATAGATGTTGCAATATGTCGCTAACTTGTTCATTCCATGCATAGAAGACTTGGTGCTGTCCTTACAAATCATGGAGGTCATACAAAATACTAGATGTAGTAGTTTTTGTTGTGGGGTGTATTAATTTTTGCATCAACTCATTTTAGTAAAACTGAAGATTTTGTAATCTAAGTTATATTACACTGTTCAACAGGTAAAAAGTTTTGGGCATAAAATTAGCTAATCTTACATAATTTTGGGGTGCTGAAAACAAAAATGACCCTAAAAAATGTTGATTGGCTCTAGTTTCCATGATATATTCACCCATCTAATGACGTAAGCCATTCAAAATTATGATGCAACTTCAGCTGCATATTGCGCAACTGATACTGGTGACCAATAGAAAATTGCATGTATACTGAGATGATGCAATATTAGCCTTTAATTGCATCACTTCACTGCATAAAAGCTGCAGTATCTGTAGCTGATTGTAGTTCGACAGCGTCTTTACATTTCGTTTTATGCTTATATAGGCTACTCAGTAATGCCTCGAACTTGTGTGAATAAAGCAGATAATTTCTGCTATATCTGCGGTGAAATAACTTTTATCTCACAAAAAAGGAGGATAACAGGAATGATTAAGAAAGCCTACAACTTGTATTTTGGCTGCAAGATAGGAGACCAGGACAAGAGCTGGGCACCACATATATGCTGCAATTCTTGTGGGACCGCACTGGAGCAATGGTTGAATGGAAAAAAGGCATCTATGCCTTTCGCTGTGCCAATGATTTGGAGAGAGCCAACAGATCATGTTAGTAATTGTTACTTTTGTATGGTGCCTCCAATTGTAAAAGGGCTAAATAAGAAGAAAAAGTTATCTGTGCACTATCCAAATATTCCATCGGCAATACGTCCAGTTCCTCATGGAGAGGGGCTACCAATTCCTAAAGCACCAGAATCCTTCGTGGTTGAGTCAAGTGAGGAAGAACCTGAAGCATGTAGTCACGTGCAGTTGTAAGAGATAGCCCTTTCCTCGAATACAAGAGAAAAGCCAAGAGAAGCAAAACCGACACAAACTGAAGACAAAACTAGTGAGAATCCTAAGTATTAAAATGATTCAACTTAGCTTATGGCTATAATTTTTCTTGGTAATCCTATGCAATATATTATGCCATTTAGGCTTTGTTATGTAGTCAATATCACTTGCTTTATATTTGTGGAAAGACATCTACAGTTGTGGCCAAAATTATTCAACCCCCACTGAAATTGAGTGTTTTGGCCAGTTTGACATTGCTTTTGATCATTCAGTCATCTTGCTTACATTTACATTAAAGAGGCACTTGTAGGTCAGACAAATATAACATAACAGTTATAATGAAATAACCACAAATGTCTTTTCTGTGCTCACAGCATTATCAGTTTTATTCAACCCCAAGTGACATTCAATCTTAGTACTTAGTAACAGCATCCTTTTACAGTTATAACAGCTTTTAAAACGTGAAGCATAGCTTGACACAAGTGTCTTGCAGCGATCTACGGGTATCTTCGCCCATTCTTCATGGGCAAAGGCCTCCAGTTCAGTCACATTCTTAGGCTTGCGCACTGCAACTGCTTTCTTTAAGTCCCACCAGAGGTTCTCAATCGGATTTAAGTCTGGTGACTGCGATGGCCACTCCAAAATGTTCCAGCCTTTCCTCTGCAACCATGCTCTAGTGGACTTGGAGGTATGCTTGGGATCATTGTCCTGTTGAAAGGTCCAACGTCTCCCAAGCCTCAGGTGTGTGACGGACTGCATCACGTTTCCATCCAATATCTCCTGGTACTGAAGAGAATTCATGGTACCTTGCACACGCTGAAGCTTCCCTGTACCTGCAGAAGCAAAACAGCCCCAAAGCATGATTGACCCTCCACCATGCTTCACAGTAGGCAAGGTGTTCTTTTCATCATAGGCCTTGTTCTTCCTCCTCCAAACATAGCGTTGATCCATGGGCCCAAACAGTTCTAATTTTGTTTCATCAGTCCACAGAACACTATCCCACAACTTTTGTGGTTTGTCCACATGGCTTTTGGCATACTGCAGTCAACTCTTCTTATTCTTTGGAGACAGCAAGGGGGTACGCCTGGGAGTTCTGGCACGGAGGCCTTCATTACGCAGTGTGCGTCTTATTGTCTGGGCTGAAACTTCTGTACCCACATCTGACAAATCTTTTCTCAGTTCCTCAGCAGTCACACGGGGACTTCTCTCCACTCTACGCTTCAGGTAGCGCACAGCAGTCGAAGTCAGCATCTTCTTTCTGCCACGACCAGGTAGCGTTTCAACAGTGCCCTTTGCCTTGAATTTGCGAATGATGCTTCCTAAGGTGTCTCTTGGTATGTTTAACATCTTTGCAATCTTCTTATAGCCATTGCCCTTCCTGTGAAGAGAAATCTCTTCTCTTGTCTTCCTGGACCATTCTCTTGCCTTCACCATGTTTGTAACCACACCAGTAAATGTCTAGAAGGAGCTGAGTATCACAGTCATTTTAAAGCTGCCTAATTGGTGCTTATTATGCTTGATTGCTGCTCGGTGACATCCACAGGTGTTTTCAATACCTGATGGAAAGCACCTGTATGAACCTCTGTTCTTCAGAGTGGTAGTCTTTAAGGGGTTGAATAATTGTGGCAATGAAGAAACCACATAAGAACCATTTACTACTGTATTACATAAACAATTGATGTAATTTTAGTTGCATTTGGGTAGTTACAACGTCCTTGTAGGATTTGATTCTGAATACAATTCCAAATGTACACTATAGTCCCTAAACCCCTTTACAGCATTGGGGGTTGAATAATTTTGGCCACAACTGTATCTATATAATTATTGTGCATTATGTAGTCATTACGCCTATAGTAGAAAACTTTCCGTTTACAGAAAAACTAGAGCCAATTGACAAATTTCATTGTTATATTTGAACTCAGAATGTGAAATTCATTAAGAAATGGATCCTTTTGTTTCCAAAACTGGCAAAAAATAAAAATTTGTTGAACAGTGTTATTAACCTTACTTTCATGTAATGAGCTATAAAAATGTGCTATAA